TTTTTCTCTGTAAAAACTCTTTGGACTTGTACGTGTCATGACAGGGCCTCACCACCAGGGTGTAGTTTATTCATTTTATTCAGTGAAAACCAGCGTCAGTGTCAAAGTGAAGCCGAGCCTTTATGTTAAACAGGATCTGTTTTATTTTCCCAGAGACGTCAGAAAAGTTTCCTGGTTTAAATGTCAGGTTCATTAATGTTGAGAACATTTACTGTGATGAAGATGATGAAGATGATGATGATGAAGATGATGAAGTCGATGATGATGAAGACGATGAAGACCACAGAACAGACTGGAGATTTCCATTTCCATTTCTCCTCCTCCTCTCCAGGGCGGTGACGAGGCCTTTGGCAGGAAGTGAAGGTGTGGCTCAGATACGGAGACGTTATCTCTGGAGGGTTTGATTTGACAACGGAGATCGTCGATTTGAAAACAGTACCAGGAACACTGACCTCAGAACCATTGTGAAACACCAACAAAGAACCATCTGCACAGCAACCACAGCTGAGATGAGGGGCTGGGACTGGGGGCTGGTGGGGGTGACGACATCTCAGGCTGGGGGTCTGATGTTCAAGGCCTCCACTGAGATGACGACAGGAAGTCGAGGTGTTATTAAAAAACCTCTCCTTTATTTAACCTTAATATTTTAAAAATCACATTCATTATTCAGTCGTTTCTTTTTCTTGGTGAAAAATAAGAATCAGACAAAATGATTTCTGTGTCTGTTTAAGAAAAAATATATATTTCCCAGCTAAAACACGATCATCAGAAAAAAAAAAAATTTCCCAGCTAAAACACGATCATCAGAATTGCTTAGCAACAGCAGGTTAAAAAAAAGAGAAATAAAAAGGTCGTGTAGCTCGTGGGGAAACTGACAATGCTGCCACCCAGTGGCAGAAAGAAAAAAGAAGAGAAAGAAAAATACGCCAAAGAATTTTTATTGAGATACGAGATGAAATGGATGAAAAGATTTACCGCCAACCTGTGAAATCGATTAATCGACTAATCGGATTGTTCTTTTCAAAATAACGAGTTTTTTTTTAACAAAGACACTTTTCAAAAGTCTGTCCTCTAATCTGATTGGCCGGAAAATATACAAACCCTCATGGCAAGCACTCATGGCAGAGGGTTGCTTAGCAACGTCGAGGGCGGGAGGGCGGGAGGGAAGTGAGTGTTTGGTGTTTGTGGGTGGGGGTTTGAGGGGGAGGGAACGCAGTGAGTCCAGACAGAGTTTCTGGGGAAATACCTGGAAAAATGCCCAAATAAATACACTGGAGAGACAGACTGGGTGGGGGGGGTTAACAACGTTAACAGGAAGTGACGTTTGACACCAAGGCCAGTCTTTAAAAAAGAAAAGAAAAAAAGAAAGAAAAGAGCGGGTGGAGCAGAAGTGGATGATTGGCAGAACAGGAAGTGTCTCTGATAAGGAGCAGACGAACAACACACACAAACATGTGGC